GACAGCTGTTACACGCAATATCTGCGATATATCATATGAGGTGATGTTAAATGAACTTGTTTTCATAGAACAATAAGCGCTTCCTTCCTTCGATAGAGTGTTTAGCTGAGCATTCCGAAGAGATTTTAAATAATCAAATGCTTTTTCTCTCTCTCTCTCTCTTCCCCTCTCTTTTTTCTCTTTCTCACTATCACTCCATCTTTCATATGTACTGATAATAATTCTTATTTTTCCTATTAACAAATTAATAATATTAATCACTGAATGTTTTTGCTTGATAGTTACTGAAGCGTTTTTTTTTTTTTTTTCTATTTGAATTACCTAGTTTGTTCGATTTCATTTGAATTCTTTTTTGAAACATTTTTTGAAAGATGAAATTAATTAACTATGTTTAGTCTATAATTTCATTCAGTTATCTTTCTCCTTCTTCTTCTTCTTCTTCTCCTTCCTCACTCATTTCTTATTATCTGAAAAATAAATTCCATAAAGGAACACTAAGCTAAAAGAAACACGTAAGAATGATTAGGAATACAGAAATAACCTTACTTTATCATTAATCATTTATACTTTTATTATTTGAACATAATTTGAAATCTTTTTTTTTTTTGTTCCTTTTTTGAATTAGGCATAAAATGTTTGGAAATTTTTCAAAAAAATCAAACTTTCAAATATTTTAGCATTGAATATCATGAAGACATCCGTTTACCTTTTGCTTTTCCTTCATCGATTATATTATAACATTGCTGAAAAAGAATTGCCAACGAATGCAAATAATAGGCCTAGAATGGATGAAACTTTTCAAAGCCTAACAACAGTAAAAAGGGCCCATCTCATTTATATTGCCTAGTTGAATGACAAATCGAGACTAGACTAGTAGAGGATTGAATGTCTCTTCTTGCTAGCCAAAAATATACACATACGAAATATTTTTACACACTTCAATGCTCATCTCCCTTTCCTCTCTCCCTCCTTCTTCCCTCTCTCTGTCCTCTCTTTCACCGTCCAGATTTTTGCTTCATATGTCTGTTAGCTTTTCTCATTTTATTAAGATCTTTCGTTCAAATGAGGTTTTCAGGAGTACTACCATTAAGTGTAATAATCCAACATATTCAACTTGCGGTAAAAAAAGTCACTCGTTTTTTTTTCTCTCCCTCTCTCTCTCCCTCCTCTTTTCCATATTACTGAAATTTCATTAGAAATTTGATAGCACGAAAAATGTAAATTTTATGAGAATAATTCCCAATCAATTTTATTCCTTTTTTTTTTCGAAATTATTGTCATGTGAAGATTTATAATGTTGAAACTTGAAACTTTTATCAGGAAACATCATTTAGAAGTGATAAGAATTACGAGAGATGTTATTTATTACAATGATTCATATTGTACTAATATTGTAAACGAATAGATTAAATGAAAAATTACTATGTGACAGCGTTAGATCTGAAACAAATAACCGGATAACCGGATAGTGGCCGAAAACTATTCCAGAAACTGGAACAGAAATGACTATACCTCTCTCCTTCCTCCTTTTTTGGCGACATATGAGCACATCCAAGTTAATCATATTCTGTTATCATTTCAGTTGTGATTGAGAATAAGAAACGAAAGGAGTATGATAATTCGAGAGGGAACTAGTGTGTTTATAGATTGTTGAAATATTATAGTATCAGAGATTGAGAAATTATGTAGAGAATAGGTGTTATTCAAATGAACAGACAAGTGATGAAAAAAGAGTTGTGAAAGAACAGAGGAATGTATGGAGTGGTAAAGATTGAAAGTAATGAGCAGGTAAACATTTTACCGATTGATTCAATGATAGTACAAATCTTGCGGGATTACTCCAAAAAAGGTTAATCAAATTTTTTGTTTTTTTGTTTTTAAAAGCTTTACAAAAATGTATTTTCTTTTTAATTGCTGTTAATTCTTGTTTGTTTATTTATTTATTTATTTATTTATTTATTATATCCCTCATAATTCTTTAATTTATTAATTAGAGTGGCAAATTTTAAAGTTTTGTCGCAAAAACTTATTAAAAGGAAAGAAACGAGGAATTGAAATTTAACTGAGAATTCATTCATTTCTTACATTTCACTGTTTCATCAAATATTTTTATTATTAAAGCTTAAATTGAGACTGAAATTATTGAGTGGCATTTAAATAAAAATTTAATTTTTGATTGAATAATAAGACGAATAATAAGTTAGATAGAAAAAATGTGATAATATCAAAAATTCATTTCCTGATAACTTTATGAGAAATTGGCAGTTTTTTTTTTTAATTTCTTATTATTAGCTAAGTTATCAAATTCAAAGTTTAAATTTTATTCATATTGCTTATATTAGAATGGTAAGCATTTATTGCAGTATTTCTTGTAATTATAGAATTTTCCTCAAAGTTAAGTATTATTAAACTATCCGCGCCATTATTTAAATTTAAAATTATTAGAATTCGAAATTAAAAAAAAAAAAAAAATTTCAGTTTCTTCCTCAAAGAAATGTAATTAAAACTGTATGCTATGAGCAATGATCATCTCAAATATAATATTGGGATAAAATTAAATGACATTAAATTATTGGTGATATTTAGAGAATAGTGTGGAAGTGACAAAGTGACACAAATGGAATTGAATAATGCTCACATTTTATTTGGATTGATTATGTTCAAAAACGAAAAAAAAATGCTTATATTTATTAATGTAATAATGGATTACTGTTTATACATTATGTACAATTCAAAATGATTTTAAAAAAATGGAATTTGCAACAATTATTTCATTTAATATTTTGCTCTCAATTTATTACAAATTTATTAAACTATACTATAATATGTAAGTTATTTAATATTTAATGGTTATGCAATTATTAAATTGTTTGGTGAGTTAATTTCTTTATGAAATTTATCTATTTTTGCTTTTTGTTAGTACACGGTCGTTTTATTTTTGTCATTTATTGTTACATTATTATTGTTATTCATAGCTCATTGTTCATTTTAACAATGTTAAATGACATTTCTTTCTTTCCTATAATTAATTAAATATTTTTATGTTTAGTTACATTGGAGAATATGATGATAAAACTTAAATGTGCAAGAAATTATTAGTCTCATTTTTAACAAACATATTTCTTTTTCAAAAACTTAGTCAAATTAATTAAAGCATTAGATCTTCTGAGACATTTTTCTGATCCAAATTTTTTCTAAAAAATGGTTTTACCGTTTGACTGTAAGTATTTTATATTTAATCCAAAAAAAAAAAATTGAAAGTTTATTTATCTTCATCAGAGTAATACCTTGAACAATAATTTTTCAAATTTTCGAATTCGAAAATTTTCACCGTCTAGGTTTGAGATAATATATAATATAGAAATATATATTGTCTCTTATAGAAAGTTACATTAATATTAAGACCTGCTTAATGAATTACTTAACGTACACTTTTTTTCTTTTTCAATTTATAAATTTCTTACAATCGTTTAATTTGGATGCTTCTGAAATGTTTCCAATTAATCTGTGACAGTGATAACAAGAATGTGACACTGTCACACCCATTTCAGTGATAATTTCAGAAGATCTGAAGTTAGAGTAATAAAAAATATCAGAAGTAAAGATCTTTTATTTGAATTTGTGGCATACCAAAACATTAAAATAATCTTGCAACTCCTTTTTAACGATGTCATTCAGATGCTAATTGTAAAGTGAAGCGCATTCTGCACGGCGCTTTTTGTCTCTTTTATTATACTGTTCTATTTTCATTTCAGATATGCATTTTCAGAAGTTTCACTCCTCTGCTTTTTAATTTCCGCCAAAGAATTTCATTTTCAATATGCTTCCGACGATAGCATTTTTTATTGATTCAATTCTGCTCTCCGCTAATTTTATTACGGAGCACGTACGTTCTTTCTTATTATTTCATTTTTTAGTTCTTTTTCTTTAGACGAAGAAAGTTATTTTCATTGGAACTTAGAATTTGACTTCAGGAAAGCATACAAAATAGCCAGAAAATAGCATAATTTCCTGAAGAAAGAATTGAATGATAGCTTTACTTGACGTACGTGTACCTCGGGACTGGCATACGTCTAAATCAAATATCATTCTCGTCAAGCACTGAAAGCTGTAGATTCCGTGTGTTTCTGTTGAAATTTTACAGCGATAGCTGTTTTTCTATAAATTCCATTGAATCAGCTATGTTAATTGTTTAATAAATTATCTCTCATATAGTTATATTAATTTTGTAGAAATACAACTTTGAAAGGAAAAAATTATTTTGGAAATTTAATTTAAAAAATTCAGATTAGATTAGTGTGCACACAGATTTATTATAGGTAATTGTATAAACTGGGAGTAACCTGGGAAAAAGTGTGTGTATGGGAAATGGCGAAATCCATTCTTCAAATTATGCGACACAATTTTCAATTAATAATCGATGTATAACACAGAATAATTTACTTCACTTTCAGGCATTGTTCTTTGGTGCAATAATCTTTGCAATATTGATTGCTTGTAAGCTTAATGCCCACTTTGCCAAACCTGTCAGTACTGAAGATACCAGCGACAGCGAAAGTAATTTTTTAGTACTTAAACATAACTCACATCGAGTAATACATTATTAAAGTGATTCTTTATAAAAAAACGTTCCATGTTTTTTGCTTTTTTTAATTGAAATTGAATCATTTCTTTCTTTTGAACATTTAAACAATTACGCTAAAAGTTTCATTGTATATTTTTTCTATGATTTGAATTTGAAATATTTCATTTTTATCATTTTTACTAATTTTGTTGAATTGAAGAAAGGAATTATTTAATTGGCCATTAATAATTTAACTTTTTCATCTTATCAATGGAAACTTTATGACAAATATGAGAAATGAATTTGTTAGGAATGATTTGTCTAATCTCATTTAATGCTTAGAATGGTAACCTGATGCTTATTTGATTCAAGGTATACTGCTTCGAGTAGAATGTGTTAAAAGAAAGAAAAACTAGTCAGTAATGTTTATTAATTGTTAAGGTGATCGCTGTGATGTTTCACCAATTCCTGAAAAAGAAGAAGAAAATAGCGATTTAGATCGTTCAAACAATCGAACTTCCTTGGGATTAGTGCGCTGTCGACGTTTGGAAAAAGATAGGCGAACGGTGGATTGGGTTCGAGATGCTCGAAAAATTTGTCGCAAATTAATGGTAGTGTCATCATCATTATCATCACCATTATCATCAGCAGCATCGTCATCATCATTGTCATCATCGTCATCATCATCGCCATCGTCATCATTCATCATCATCATCAGTGACATCATCATGATGCTTCAACCTCAGCTAAATTCCATTTCAATTCTTCTTCCCTAGATTCAGTATCGTTCATTCGTGTGTCGTGTTTCCACTTTTCATCCTCATTTTTCACCTTCCATTTTTACATGGATCATTCACGCTGCACGAGTCAATTTCGGAAGTTGCAATCAGTTCCACGTGCGTAAAGTTCGAGAATGAGACACATTTATCCTTCTCATATTTGAAAGATGAATATGAAGTCGTTATATATTAGATCTTCATTAATTGATTGAACTGTTAGGATTTTCAATGGAATATGGATTCAACATAAAGTTTCTTCGATGAATAATTTAGAAGTCATCTGAAGCAGAACTACGTTGTAACTTTTTTACGTTGATGGACAATTTAGGCCCTAGATTAGTAACATTTAAAACGCTGAAATTATGTTGGTATCATAGTTTTACATAAAATATGTATTGACAGTATTTTTTTATGAACAGTATAAGTTTTTGCAGTTTGTACAGCGGATACCGCCCGGCTGTGCGGTTCTAAGGAAATGCGCAGTGTGGTTTTGCGGTGAGCCTGTTTTTTTTTTTTTTTTTCTTTTTTTTAAAATTTGCAATTGTTCATGGGTTCGGAGTGGTTTTTTAAAAGTTTCTCTGTTCGTAATTAACAAAGTGCGAGTGAAATCAGCGAGTTGACAAAGTGTTTTATGATTGACAACGAAGGAGGAAATCAATAGTTTGTGCCCGATAGTTGAAAAAGTAACAAGTAAATAATGCTTACTGTGTAAGGACTTTCTTGGAATGTACTGTAAGATTTTGAGAATTCCATTGGTCTTTGTTGAATTTAAACTCCGATTTTAATACTTTTGATCAAAAGGGCATCATAATATCTAATACTGTTTTTGTTTGGGTCGCTTATCTGGATATTGTTTCACCAGTAAATTTAAGTTTGATTATTTGATAATGCTGAAATAATCATAAAATGGCTTTGAGCTTAATTTCAAGAATAATCAAGGAAAACCTGCAGAATTTAGAAGAGTGCAAAGACATTACCGGGCCGGAAGGAATCTTTTGCCTACGCGATAAGTAATGATTAATAAAAGAAGCACAATTAATAAAATGCTCAAGAGTTTCAAAAAAAAAAAAATCTGCTGTTCGGTCTATTTTCCCTTCGAGAAATCTTTGGTTCTTCCCAACTATTCTTCGAAATTGCTCTTTTCCTATTTCCTTTTTTCATTATTTTTTTTTAAATAAAAAAAATGAAAAAACTAATAATAAATAAGTAAAATAAAATGACAAGAAAAAAAAAAAAATTTATCTTTTTTATAGTGTAATAATACAATAGAAACACTACATGCAAGTTGCATGCATGTAATAATTTGAATCATTTTATGTAATGCTATGTTTATATTAATTTAAAGATTAATTTAAACAGTGATTTAAAAAGTTTCTCTCCTTTTTTTTTTTTTCAGTTTCAAAAATCATATTATCTATCATTATCATCGGATAGTAGCGAACATCTTCTTTTCTCACGAAGAACACCAATAAGGCGTCGACATTCCAATGTTGGTCCATTTCAGCTTGCTCGTGCTGCCAAAGAGTTTGTTATTGTTCCATTTTCATCGTATTTGTAAATTGTAATTGAGATTATTTCTATAATTGTGTCTCCTCATCTTCCTCATTTAATTCTTATAGCTCATTATTTTTATTAAAACTTTATTATTATTATTATTTTTTAGATAATATATGGAAGAGAATTCATGTTGACCAAAGATTTTAACTGAAATTGGCAATTAAAAAAAAAAAAAAAAAAACTATGATTTTGTTCAGTAAAAATATGTTTGTTACTAATGATTAAAATTAGAAAATATATTTTTGTTTGTCAGTAATGAAATGAAATTTATGCTTTCTAACATTTTAGCTTTATTGTTCATGGTAGTAGCGCAAAATTCCAGCGACAGCTTTCGGAAATGACAAAAAGGAAATTACCTAAACCACCATCTCAATTTTTTGAGCCCTCAGAAGTTCCAATTATTCCACAAAATGAGAAACCAGAAGTATATTATATTTTACACAATATCAAGTAAATCTTGTACTTTTTTTTTTCATATCGAAAAGTCTATTATGAAAGAGTGCTTCCATATTTGATAATAATATTTGATAAATTTTAGTTACCAAATTATTAAAAAGAAATAAATAAATATTATTGTACAGTAACTGTATTGATTGAAATTGAAAGCTTTGAACTAAGAGGTTTTTTCATTTTTTTAATTCATTATTTGTGCATTAATAACTAAATATTTTTTTTATTTTTTCAGAATGTTAGAATTACCGTCGGAATGGTATGCACAATGGAAAGGTTTGATCGTAGAAGAATACAAGGAAAATGATTATCTGATCAGACCTGGCGATAAAGATAATCACATTGTTGTTGTTTTAGAAGGGGTCATTGCTGTCTTTATAACGGTACATTTCTAAAAACAATATTCGACTTTACAATTACAATTTGAATTATGAATTAAAATTCGTATTTTATAGCATACTGAAGGAAAAGAACTTATGGTTCGGAAAATTACAGTTGGTGATAGCTTCTTCAGTCTTCTATCAATTTTGGATGTTTTAATGGTATAATTTGTTAATCGTCCTTATACAAAAATTATGTTACCTTTGTCTTGTTATAGTTCGAAATGACATGAAAATTTTAATGTATTTTCTTATTATGTTAATTGTCTTTCCAGTTTTGCTAAATTTTTTTGCTAAAATTGATTTCAGAACCATGAAATAATTTTCCGGAATATATCAGTAAGAGCTTTGACGAAATGCCGAATTGCCAGGTATGTTTTTCTACTTACTATTATTGTCAGAGATTTTTTTCTGATAACTATGCAGAAAATATAATAATGGAATAAAAAATATAAGAAGAATGGAAAAAGTACTAAACTCTCTGAATTAATATAATTAATATAATCGTTATTGTTACTACATATTATATTAAATTTTAATAAAATATGTCTATACAGACAATAGCAAACTTATGTAATGGTATAAAAAGGTAAAACAAATTGCTGTTTGCTATTATATTTCTATTGCAGTTAACTCTTTTTTATTCGCATTCGTATATTAATTTTGTTTTTCATCTCTCACTGCTAAATTAATGATTTGGTTGTTGTTAATTTGTGAAATAACAAATCTCGATAGTTGTTGAACTATGATGGAATTAATAAGCTGATTAATATGTTTGAAGCAAAATTCAAAACAATATCTGCAGAAAAATCATTTCAACTAAAAATGAGGTTGGAGTGAAAACTGTTAAATTCTTTTAGTTCATTTTTTTTATAGTTACTTTTATTTAAGAAAAATATATTAAATAAGTCGTAACATAAAATTTGGCATCTTATTTTCTATTTGGATTTTATTTTTTGTTTTATTTACTTTGCTTTCCTGTTACAGCACAACTACACTAACTTTTATCGGAATTTGTCTCTCTTAAGGGTTTTACAAATTTTCAATTTTGGAATGAATAATTTTTGATTATTCTATAACTTTTCAGTGATCTCATAGATATATTTTGATTTTTCATTTTTCTATCTATCCGAAAAGAAGAGATTCAAAAAATAAGATTTCCTAGTTATAAAAGCACAAATTTCCATCCAAAATATGATTGCCATCATTGTTTTTTTTTTTTTTTTTTGTAGAACTAAAAATTCAAACTTTTCGGAAGTGCATGGAAGCACTATGTAAAACAGTGCCTGTCAATAAATTTGTTTAAATAAAGGAAAAATTCCGATGTGTCTTTTTTTTAATTTTTCGGATGAATCAGAATCGTTTGTTATAACGCATAAAAATTCATTATAGATGTAGCACGAATAGTTTTCGGGATTCATTCATTAAGAATCCTGAATTTTGGGTTCGACCAATTCAAATTGTCTTAACACGATTGCTACATGTTACTTTAACAACACTTCATCAATATCTCGGTTTAAGTATCGAATTAGTGAAAAAGGTCAACTCAATAATATCTTTTCTATTTTTTTTTTTTCTATGCTAATCCAATTAATTTGTTTAAAAAGCATTTATTTCTAAATTGTGCAAAACATTTTCATTTATTAATTATTCTGTCCATTTAATATAGTCAGAAATATTTCACGTCGTTTAACTCATTTCAGCGTCCTGATGAAAAGCGTAATATGGATGAGCGTCATCGACATCTATCTGGAATTACTTCCTCAAATCGTCTGCAAGGCAAAATACGATCACGTACTCATCGTCTAAATAGCATTGATGGTACATTGTTATTATTTTCATTCAGAATTTTATTTTAATTTTCAATTTCTTTCAAGTACATTAACATAGATTCTGCATATCAGTTACAAGATTCATTTTCTTTTGAAGATTCGAAGGAATATTTGGCGACAGCACAGCGATGGTTTGCTGAAGTACTTCATCTAGGTGTTAGTCCTGAAGCGATAGCAATTTTGGCAGGTCGTGTAACCATTGAAAATGTCCCCGAGAAACATCTTATTGTAGAGCAAAATTCTGAAGATGAATTATTAATTATGGTTCTCAGTGGTTTTCTAAGTATTTCACAGGTTTTTTTTTTTTTTAAACAGCTCAAATATGCAAATTTAGCATGTTTTGTGCTTTTTTTATGTTAAAACTTATAATCAATTTAAGTTTAATTTCTCTGAAGTTAACTGTTGGTTATTAGATAAAATGATTTTGAACAGTACTGAAATGGTTGGAAGTGAAATCAATATTTCAACCATTTCATAACTCTTAGAAAAAATTTGATTTGAGGAGCCAATTGATGGAGAAGATGAGAATATAGATGAAGAGCAGTTTTTCATATATCCACGCGAACTTATCGGCGGATTACAATTACTTACCGGTGAACCATGGTTTGTTACGGTTCGATCTCATACGTGTGCAATATACGCAACTATTTCGAAAAAAGATTTCTTTGAGTTGGTTTCTGTCCTACTCTTTTAACTTTACAAAAATAATATCTAAAAAGGTAGTTGATTTTA